CAGGTGTAACACTTCATACTATATAGCATGTTATTATTTCCAGAATTGATACTTTGCTTCTGAACTGCTGAATAAAGGAAAAACAAAAACCTCCTGTTTTTTTTCTTTGATGCAGCAGTGTTATAAATGGAAACATGTAAACGAATTCCCGAGCTAGCTGGGTAATAAATCAATTCCTGTTCTGGAGCAGTGGAATGTGAAATATCACTCATTGTCCCACACTCTGGGACAGCTTTGCATGAAGGTCAAATTCACCCGGATTTAAGGAGCCTGCAGGGAGCAATATGAAAAGTCATTGTGTGCTCTCTTCTTTCTATTTTTAGCAGTTGTTAGAGGGATCAATTTTAGTTAACTGCAGCGGCAGGTTTAAAATAGTGTTGCTGTTCTTAGTTGTGCATTTACTATGTTTAGAATTTCATTGAAAAACAAATCCCACCAACACTCATTTCTTGGTATCGCAGCAGTAAAACATACTGCTGGGCATCAAACAGCACTGGTAGCCTCAGCTAAGATTTTATTTCATTCAAAAACAACATTAATAATGTAACTGTGGCTTATCAGCTATCAAAAAATACTGGCACAGTTGTTTACAGAACTGTGAACACTTGAGCCTGACTTCTATGTCTTCAGCTTGTGAGGAATCTTTGCTGTACTAAATACAGTGATTTGGTGAAATAAACATCTGAGGACCAGGAAAACTTATCTGAGCTTGTAAATAGTGAACAGTGTCTTTGTATGTCCTCAACACAAGATGAGTTTAACTGACCTGCTTCGCTGGGAATGCAAGATGCACCAGTTGGACACAGACCCACACTACTTTCCCATTCCATGAATATGGGTCACCTCCTGTCACAGTACACTGCTGTAATCATCATAGCCACAAAATCAGAGACCAGAACTGTCCCTGGGTGCAAAACATTGAGAGGTTTGCTCCAGAGTATAATGAATATGCTAGAAGTGAGTTAACAGATTTGCCATGTGCAGTATTTTTTTCCAAGCTCAGTTTTGAGACAGGTGTTTTTGCTGCAACAGTGCCAGACTGGCATCTCGGAGGTATAATGGAACAGCTTTCTGTCTGCTGTGCTGAAAAGGAGGCTGGGTTTTGGTCCTTCCACATAAAATTGAGATCAGTGAGAGTGCACTTAACTTCTTAGGGAAGATCATGGCGTATTTAATTAAGTTCCTGGTTGACTGATGTATAGTCTCACTTTCTGCAGATGCAGAAATTAGGCTTTAAATGAAGCATGAACAGAATGCCGTGGATCAGTCAGAGCCAGGAACTGTGACTGTGCCTGATGCTGACCACCAGCCTACAATTTTTCAATATATAGCACATAAAGAGGTGTGATCATTAATCAGTTTGATGGAAAATGCTTCCCCTGTCAAGAGAATTTCCAGAGTTTGAACTGCTGATGAAGACACAAAGGTGTTGTGCAGATCTGGGGTGGTCATTTGGCTGTTTGCTTCTCAGGCCCAGGTAGTATCCTGCCTGGCCCCACTGGGACCTAACTTTTTCCTACAGAAATGCTTACAACCTACCAAGTCTAGGCTCTCATGCCTTTTCCATAACATTTTATAAAGTATTAGTTTCTTAGCACTGAGGAAGACTGGAAATAATTTTATATGAGAAAAGTATGTAAGGGGAAGGAGAGGGAATCTCCAGGTCCAGGCTGTGTCTACAGCAGAGCTGCTTCTCTCAAAGGAAAGACAGCTCTTTGCCATTTATTACTGCAGTGATGTACAAAGCATCCTCTTGGCACTAGAATATGCCCTTTCTTTTCTGGAAAGCAGTCCTACCCTCTCCCTATCCACTCCCCAACCTGCCCATATCTGCCCTCCTTCTCCCATTGCTTCTTCCCAACTTGTCACCCCAATTTCGTCAAGACAAACTGCCCTGTACTCCCTCACTTTCTAACTCTGCACTTCAAAGTGCCTTTCCCCAGTATCCCAGCTGCCACCCTGGCCTCCTCTTGCCAATCCCAACCCCTGCTGCCTGCACTGCTGGTTGCCCAAATTGCCTTTCTGCCCATGGCTTTGATTCGTGGATAACAGCTCCACTGATGAGCTCTGTACTACAACACACAGTATAGGTCAGGGTGCTGAGTACTTTTCCTGCTCCATGGGCCACCAGTTTTGGTTCTCTCCCTATTTCCCAGCCTCTCATCAGCATTCTAGCAGGTTTTGCACCTCAGGCTGTGCTTCAGGTGATGTAAAATACATTTTTGACGTTATGAAAGCACCACTCTGAAGTATTACACATGGTGGCTCTTGGGACACAAAGGAGACCTGGCAGAGTCTGTGCCACTTGTCTGTTGGGTCTGGGTTTCATTTTTGTCTCAGGAATTCAGAAGTAGCTGTTCCTGACATGTTCTAGGGTTTCTTGAGGAGGATGTGTTGCTCTTGCTCCTGCTCCACCCTGGGTTTGACTCACCCTTCCCCAGGGGAAAACAGGAGAGGGTAGGACTCTGCCCAGGTAATGCTGCACACAGGGATTTCAAACCATGTCTCATGCCACAGATTTTCTATGCTCAGGTGTTTTCAAACTCTCATGTTCTCACTGATTTTAAAGGAAGTACTAAATACTTCATATGATTCCTGGAGGCAATCAAAAGGGGAAAACAAACGGTGATAGATAAAACTTCTCATTTCTGTCCTTCCTCCCTGCTGTTCCATAGCTGCTTCTGCCCTTCCTTCCCCTTACCAGGGGCAGGGTACAGGAGAGCTGCTGGGTGGAGAAAGCTTTCCCCATGGTCAGGAGAGGAGGGTGCCCTGCTCCTCCAACATCAGCAATGGGCTTGCAGGGAGCAGCTCCTCCATTTTGCACATGGCAGATCCATGCTGTAGAGGTATTTTATGGGATGGGTTGTAGCTCTTCCATCATAAACATGAATCCATACAAAGGACCATCTGTTACTTGCACCATAGTATTTGTAAAGCACTTGGATGAAGGGACTGTAAGTGGAAGGTATTTTTCTGATGCTAATGCCACATTTAAGGTGGAAGGGGCAGCTCTGAACCCATTAACCTTTGCTCATGGGTCTGAATCATGGGTGAGGTAGCTGCACGGTATCATTAGTATTTGTTCATTATTCATAAAGTGTATGAACATCATGGACAAAAGGGCCTCGTTAGACAGGAGCTGCACCATCAATGGAAGGTCACAGTTCCAGTTCACAAAGGGATAGAAAATCCTATGGCATTACTTTAAATTCTGAAATATCCTAAGTTGCTTTTGTGCTGGTTTTGTGGTCACCTTTCTTGTGTCATCTAGGGCTGTGGGTTTGCTTGTGGCTCATGTGGTTACCAAAGGTGACATAAAAGCAGCTGTGCCCATTGTTGAATGGGGAAACTTCAAATACTTATTGGTTGGTTGTTTTTTTTAAATGTGAAGCAAATGAAGAGAGGAACACTGCTGCTATTTTCAGGAGTTTGTCAGAAACATGTTCTGACAAATCTATATGCCACAACTTAATTCTTCCCTGCATTATATTTAGATGTTCGAGTATGTTTGATACATTTTGTGATATATTTCCAAGTAAATTTATATGAGTTTCCATTGCTATCTCAGCTTCTTTGACTATTTAAACAGTTTATTATTAGGGACAGAGACTGCTGTCTCTAATTTATTATTAGGGCCAAAGACTGCTGGAGAAAGAAGATTCCTCACCCCAAGAATTCTTCGGCTTAGCCTGTAAGAGTTCTCCAGGAGAGTGGAAGAAGCAGGATCATGGGGCAGTGTAGGGCCTGAGAACACAAGGGAGGCCACATCAGAGACAGCTGAATGAGATCACTGGACAAATGCTTGGGTGGTATTAGCTACTGAAGTTGGTGAGTCTTAACTATGCTGACTTGACTAGCTGCTCATGGCTTGGGACACCCTAGGTCTTGTCAACATACCTCGGTGGCAGTGACTCAGCCAGTACTCCAGTAGCTGAACTGCTGCAGATTTAGCTCATTTTTTTTTTAATGCTGAAAGTGTTGTTTAAAAGGAAAGCAAAAAAAACCCCTAGAAAAAAGCAGAAGGGGAGGGCTAATCTGCTGTATCTAGTGGATTTCTATTTTATATTTGTTTCCTTAGTGTTCATTCCACAAAGAACAGTTACATTTCAGAACAAGATTCAGCTGTACAAAAGTCCCAGAGTTACTGTTGTCCTGTTCCGAGCTGAACCATGAAAAGGTTTTGTGCTGTTTGAGCCATAGTTCTGCAGGCATGAATAATCCTGAGTACAGAATAGAGTCTGCAGCTCATTTATGCTCAGAAATAACTGTATGCCTTAAAAAACTAATTTATGAGTGCATCACATTTTGGTTTGCAAAGTGACATTAATTGCTGTTGCAGTTCCTTGTGCCAGAGGCATCTGAATATTTTTCCTTGTGTCTGTACTTATTTCCACTGTTCTTTTTTCAGCAGAAAGAATCCTTCTGGGAAAGATTTGAACAGTGAAAGAATATGGCATTTGAACTGGGATTATTACCTTTTAGGAGGGCAGTGAATCTGCTGTCCTCAGTGGTGCTGGTGTAGGAGGACAGGCGCGGCACTGCAGAGCTGCCTGTAGCTGACAGTGACCAATGCAGCCCTCGGTGCTGGCTGGCAGCATTGACGTCAGCCCAGAGCTGAGAAATTAGCTGAAGCCTGCAGGGAAAATGGGCAAAGAAAAACCATATAATTTCTCAATGCAGCACAACCAAGCTATTTCTCTTTTTATATTTTAGCCTATCAGCAAGACCTGTAATGCTTTGCTCAATTTGGATTCAGAGGAAAGGTTGCCAAAAATAGAGCAGTTAAATGTCAACATTAATGGTATCACAGCAGTAAAATATTTCTCACAGCAAGATGCCTGACTTATAGCTATTATTCACTAGTTGCCTCCTATTTTTTAGGCAAAAATACAGCATGTCCTCTAGTCTCAAGGCACCCAGCCTTATCTGGACCAGGAATTTGTCAGCATAAACAGCATGTGAGCACAGGCCCAGAACTACACGTGCTAATGCAGGGCCAAACCTGCAACCCCCTCCTGAGGCAGGGCCAAAGCTACAACCCCTTCCTTGCATGGATGACTTGGCCACAAAGTGGCTAACAAATAAACTAACAGATACCAATACCTACTTGTATCCCATGTACAATCCAAAATACATGTAGTGCCAGAAGGCTGAGTACAGGACCCAAAGTCATATGTCTGATCCATTGTTTGCTTGTGGACTCTGGCAGGAAACCACCCAAGCCGTGTTCATGGTCCTCGCAGGAGTACTGGGAGGAGACTTAAATAAGGAGGTTAGATAGTTAGAAAATCCAAAGTACTGTTTAAGTGTTTAGCCTGCTCCAGTGAGCATTGATAGACTGTGTCCTGTAATCTCATCTGCAGAGACAAAATTCGTTACAGACTCAGCTAAAGAGCTTTCAGTCTCAAAATCTGTCTGGAGCAGAGTTATGTATATTTTTATTTCTGGAGAAATTAGATCAAGTGCTGAAGTCTGTCTGAGGGCAACAAGTTGCAGAATTTAGTGGACTCTAAATGGGATTGGAGACACACTAGACTGAAGGGAAACAACAATGTAAGGAACCAGCTCCAACCCAACAGGTGTGACATGACTTCAGACCAAAGGTATGATAGGTTGGGTTCCAGTTTCTCTTCTTAATCATTAATTTCTGTATTCTCTCTCCTATTCCTACTTTGTGGGTTTTTTTCAGTGCTCTTGGTCACTACTAATAGTGCAAAACACCATATAGACACCAGAGTATATACAGACCAATGATCACTGCCCCTCAGGGCAGGATCCCCAGGATCTGCTGTGACAGCTGACAGAGTCCAGCTGTGCTGGCCCTCACCTGTATTTAGGAGCAGCACACACTCACCTGCAGTCCAGGAGTGCCACGGTCTGTGTTGCTACTCAGGCTGCCATCTGTTGATATAACTGTTTTTCTCTGCTTCCAGGAGAGAAATACGAGTTGCATGCAGGAACAGAGTCCACTCCCAGTGTGGTAGTGCACGTCTGTGACAGTGACATGGAAGAAGACGAGGACCCAAAGAATTCTCCAAAGCCAAAAATCATCCAGACTCGACGCCCTGGTCTGCCACCGCCTGTATCTAACTGAGCCTCTCCAGCAGAAGCAGCACTTCTCTCCTCCAGCACAGCTCTTGGTTTTTGTTTGCTTTGTTCTGTTGAAAGGCACCATTGCCTTCTGGGCACCAGGACATTAAGGTCATTGAAACCCCTTCATAGTAATCGAGCCTATGTGACAAAAGGGCTAGGAAAAAGATCTTTGTACATGTAACCATATCACACACCAAGTAATAGATCTATGGGGAAAGGACAAAACAAGGCTGAGAAATGAGAGAGGGTTTCAGTCTAAGGATTTTTTTACAGCTATAATTTGCATGCTGAAACACCACTACCAGAGAGATCCTGCAGGGTGGGAATTAGGCTGATATCAGACTCCCAGAATACTTACTACTGCCCTTCATCAAGCAGCTTGCTCCTCTGCCCCCCTCACTTCCCAGCAGACCTTAGTCTTTCCCTTTATCTTTTTTTTTTTTTTAAAGAGGGGGGGACTATGTGTGTTGTTTTTAATCTACTAGCAGCTTGGTGGCCTTTTCATCCCCCTGGAATTTTCTGTAAGGAATATTATCTTTACAACATTTTCAGAAACAGCAGAAAAACACCCTCTTCCACCAACAGCTGTGGAGAACACTGGTCTGTCATGGTGGCAGGGATGTGAGACAGAGCTCTCTGGGCTGAAGGGAGAGGCAGCAGGTTGCTGGAGGGTCTGGTGTCTGTCAGTCCTCTCTGGGGAGGAGGGAGCCAGAATATCAGTAGGGATTGTCAGTTTACCTTCCATCAGGGTATGAGAGGTACTTCTCTCTGAGTTTGAGGAAGAGAAGCTAACTGACTGCTTGTTTGAGATGAGATTTCTTGCTCTGTCATAGCTGTAAGTTCCAGTGAATACAGGCTGAATGCTTTCCTTAGTGGTGTGGTGAATAGCCCTGAAACTGTCAGAAATTATTATACATCTCTGATATTCAGCCCTTTTCCCCTCCCCATTTCCTGTGCTTCGAAGCCCTTTTTGAGCTGTATGCAGTTTGGGTTTGTGGAGGTGAGGAGAGGTTAGTTGGAGTTCTTTTGTTGGTTTTTTTTTTCCTCTTTTTTTAGGCCAAAGAAAACAGGACCATAATTACACACTTGAAATTAGACTGCATGCAACTGAATCCCCCTTTTTCACTCTGTCCTGCATGTTTCTTTCACTTGCAATATATACTGGGTTACACAAACTGTTCTGTGTTTGCATCATGGCTGACAGCAGGCAGATCCACAACTCCCTGTCTGGCAGACCTTCCATGATGATTTTTTTTTATGCGTACTTGTCATTTTGAGAACATATTTTCTAGACATTTGAGCTCAGATTTTGCATATATTTAAGCATGCGCTTAATTTATGCACATGAGTAGTTCCACTGAAATTAATACTGCAGAAACTGAGCATATGTGTAAGGTATGGTGGGATTTTTTGGCTAATTAGCTGCAGCTGTACTCCCCAAAGTGACTATAAAATGGCACAGCGAGATTCCACGGTTTAAAATCCTTTACAGCTTAAAGTAAGTAAATACATCTTGGAAGCTCATTCGAAGATCTGAGAAGTCAGCTTAGGCTCTGTAATCAAGATTTTTGTCATAAAACCTAATGATCTGGTTTCTGAGGGAGGGTTTCATCCCACCTTTAATAGCAGCAAGGCTGGAGTCAAGTGCTCCTTGCTGGGGTCTTGGCCCTGCAGCACTTCCAGGACAAGCAGCATGTTAGTGAGGACAGGAGATGGCATTCCCAGTGTGCATGGTGAGGATGTTCTGAGTATGAGGACTTGTCATTCTCGTACAGTTCATTCTCTGACCACCACAGCCCCCACATATTCCTGATGAGATGCAGTGCTTTACTTTGCACATATTTATAATGGGATACTCATCACTGCATTACGTGCATGTGTTACACTGATAGCAGCACATAAAATATAGCAGAGACTGAACAGAAAATGGGGCTTTAGAATCCTCATGATATCTGTGCAAAGTTGTTTTAAAGTAACTCCTTAGAGGTTTCACTTCAGTTATTTTTCAGTGGTGCATTTAGAATTGGTTTAAGTAAATTGTCACTCACAGCCCTAGGACTATGCCCTGACATTCCTGTTTAAAACACCATCACAGGCCACACACAACATTCCAGGAGTAACACCACTGGGTTTTCTTGAGAACATACAGAATCCTAAGGTCCATGGGGTGTAGACCAGTATAAACAGGGAGAGTAACACCTAAACATATAAGTGATCAGAGATCATCTCCAATGAAAGATGATACTCTGGATTTTTTTACATGAAAAAGTGTTGGAGGCCAAATCTTGTCCTTGTATCCATGTCTCAAACTTTGGAGAGACTTGGTTCTGAACTAAGGGCTTTGGCCTCAAATGATGTAAAACTATACTACAAATTAAAGCACTGGACCTTAAATGTTCTTTCCTCAAAGTGCATTTTCAGACATTTAAAACCAGGCCCCATTCAGTGACTACTCTGTGTCTTGTACAGCTGTGTAGTACCACCCAGGAGGCAGTGAGACATGGCTCATTGCTTAAGCACAGAAATAGAAACACAACTGCAAACCTGAACATTCAGAGCAGCCTGTGGTAACTATGGTCAAAGCTCATACACCACTTTTATATGATAAAATAATGGTCATCATGAAAAAATGTTTCAGGCATTATGGCTTCCTTATCATCAAAGTCACTGCATTTGTGACTCTTGAGAGAAGCTGGTATTTTACTAAAGACTGGTTCTTGCCTGGCATGGAAGAAAGGCTTCTTTCAAAACATGCTGACCATCTGGAAGGGGATCTGTCCTATTTAATTCAGCAAACCACAGGCAGAGTCCCAGCTTATTTCAGTGGGGATTTGCTTTTCTGTAGCATCTCTGAGCTCAGTTGCTCTGACTTGCACTTGTCACAGGGTGTCAGTAGATTTTCTGGTGGTGTAACCCTGGAAGAATGAAATCTCTGTTACATGACAGCTTCTGAATCACAGTGACACAGCCAATGTCCTTTTAATTTCCTTCCCAAAGCAGGAGCTGGCGGGAGTGGCTGGTGGCAATGCCCTGGGACCTCTGTTGGGTGCACATGGCTCCTGCTGCTCCTTGGAAATTAAAAAAAGGAAATCAGGGGAGTATAGTTGCTGTTTCTGTTACCTGCTGCCTGCTTGTCCTTTCTGACCTCTTCAGATACAAAATTGAAATTTTAATTACTTCCTCAGTACAGTTTAAAGCATGAAAACATTTCCAGTGTGTGGAGAAGAGGTATTTTGGAATCTGCTCTTTTGGAACAAAACAACGAAGAATTTCTGTGGCCTTGATTTCTGTAATTAAGACAAGGTAGTATAAACTCCTCCCTTCTCCTAACATATACAGACACACTCAGTACACTTTGTTTTCGACAAGAAAACATGGCAAGAGCATCCCTTCCTCAGCCATAACAAGACACCAGATATAGTTACTGTGAAGTGCTTTATATTATAAAAACATTCCCCGTGGATAAATTGCGTAGCATTTATTTGATCCTAAATTGGGTGGGAGGGGTGAGTTGGTTTTATTTTTGATTTTTCCCCCCCTGCTTCCCATTCAGCAACAGTGAAAATACTTTCTGCAGAAAGTCAGTGTTGTTTGTGCCGAGGAAGGGACTGAAGCACTTTGTAGGATGTGATTCCAGTGGTGTGTCTGAGCACTGTCACAGATGCCGTGAGCATTGCCATTGCATTGTACATACTTTTGAAGTATTCTATTTAGTCATATTTTATAGTATTAAAAAGCTACTGGCTAATTAATCACTTTTACACTTGTATAATTCAGAGCTTAGTTTAAAAAATAAGTATGGCAAATGGTATTTTTGTGTTCTGCTTGCACTGGCGTTTGGAAAAGCAGCATTTAAAGAGTTAACCTATATCAACAAATGACTAGTGTGGTGTATACCTCTGGTAGAACTGAAAATGCTTAGATGTGTGACATAGGCCTAACTTTGTTCCAGTAGAAATTAGGGGAGAAGCAGCCCTCTTGTTGGCAGGATATGCCATGTTCCATTTTAAGCTGCTGCAGTTTCAGAGTCATGTGAATTTGCTCTGGTTTGCTGCAGATTTGGCTCAGTGTACGCAAAAAAAGCTACAGCACAGTCCCTGGTGAACAAAAACATCTCCCTGACCGCTGATGTGGTTCTCACTGTGCTTTCATAATCACGGGTATTGCAGTGGGCATGAGTGCTTGAGCATGGAATGTGGCATCCAGCTACCAGCCAGGCTGGGGAAGGAGTAAGATCAACATCCATGATTATACAAATTGAAGCCGATTGTTTGTTACCTCTTGCATTAGTTTGTACTGGGTCTTGCAAAGGGCTGGAAACTGGGAGATGACTTTGCTGATAACTGTCCTGTGAAATTCTTACATCTGCATTTGGAAAAAGGGTATTATTGTTTTCTGGGTGCCTGGCATAAAAGACTTAGTTTTTCAAAGGATGATTGTTCATGATTCTGATAATTAGATCTGTTTAAGAAGTTTCACTGGGGATGTAAACTCTGAGCACATTGAATCCTTTGGAAAGGACAGGCCTTAACCCCTTAGTTTTGATTAGAAAAACTAGTAATTGTGAGCTTCTGGAGTACTTTAGAGGTGAAATGCAGGAGGCCTGGTATGTTCTTTACTTTGAGCACCAAATGAGCTTTCTCCACTACAGTGAGTCTCTTATCCAACGTGACTGAAATGCTGCATTACCTGTGTGCCAGTTGTGGCTCTTACGTCTTGCTTGGCACTGGATACAGCACTGGGAAATGAGCTTCAGGGCTTCAATTGTGCATGGCAGAGCACTGTGTCTCAGAGGATCCCAGACTGATCACAGTCACAATGCTATCAGATTCCCTAAAGAACCTTTACTGAATTTATTTTGGTCCTTTAGTGGCAAACACTTTACCACTAAACTTTTAGCTGCTTCAGGCTTTCCTTCACACACCAGTGTGAATTTAAACCCTTTGCATTTCTTTGATTCCCCACTGCCTAAGAAATCACATTTAGTTCTGTTTTACCAAA